TGAGGCAGTAGGATCGCTTGAGCCCAGGAGTTTGGGGTTGCTGTGAGCTAGGCTGATGCCACGGCACTCTCGTCCAGACAACAGAGTGAGACTCTGTCCCCCCCGCCAAAAAGAGCTCAGAAATAACCTAGACAGGATCGATTGTCATCTTTTTCCTCTTTAGCTCTCTAGAAAGCAAGAAAGCTGCCTAAATATAAGTTGTCTAAGATGATAAGGAAAAAAGTCATATGACAAGATTGGGAAAGAGTATAGATTTTTTTAAACCAAGATTTCTCCAGAAAGATTTATTCCCAGATAAAAAATCACTCCCATCTTGTGGCCCTGATGTTCACACCTAGGATGAGTAAGACAGGGCTGCTCTGGAAAACTGTTTGCAATAATGTCAGTGTAGGAAGTATCAGTGGTGAAAAGGAAGAGAGGCCAAAGGACACAGTGGCTCTGAGGCTTGAGGCCAAACCCCCAGAACTTGTAACATCTCTACACATAGATTACTCACAATGGGCAGACTGGGAGGAGGTCTGTGTGAAGTTAAAATTAGAGAAATAAGTTAGCACGTGGATATATGTACATAGGATGGATTTTTCTTTTTATTACTCTACTGAAGTCATCCTTATTCATTTCATGATACCCAGCTGATTTAAAATGTAAAGGGTATTAATTCTTTGCTTTCCAGAGGAAATAATATTCTTAGTATAGTCCTCCTGATTTGTAAGTAAATGTTTTTTTCCCCACTGCTATATCACTGAAAGAAAACAAAAATGATTTGAATGATTTGATACAATAGCAAGATAAACTGTAAGCATTTAATAAAAACTACTGCAGTCTGTCTTTTTTAGTTGAAAAGAAAAGAATTATTAATTGAGCACATTCTAAATTTCATAAAAACATGCATATGTATTTAGGCCTTGATTCAGTGCTCAAATGTTTACAAAATTCTAGCGTTGAGAAGATTTGGAGTATCTCAATTGAAAGAAAAGCAGAGAAGCAGGAGTAAGGAGGAATGGGTTTAAGCGATTAATCAGCATTATTGTGTTTTCAAATAATACATGTTAAGTTATTATGTAAATGACTTTTTCTTAGGAGTTCTTTAGATTGATGGTTCTATAATAAAATATTATAAATTATTATTGTGCTGGATAGAAAATGACTAATATATAAGGGAAGTCATGCAATTATTACTATTTCAATGCTTTGCATTTAAAATTAGTGGAATTATTTTTCCTTAGTCTCAGTCATCCACATGACAGTATAATAAATGCTACCAAGAAAGGCAGTAATCTAAGAAGTGGATATTTCTGATTCTAGACAATTAACATTTTGAAAAATAGTGTTTTTAGTGATATTACGCTTTAATTTCTAGAGCAAAAAGACAACATATGAAATAAAAAATCATTTTGCCTACCATAAATACCCTTAGGGTCCAGGGTAACACCAGAATAGCTTTCCCTTTTAACACCTTCTGGCTAAAATAAAGGCAGAAAACATTAAGTTAAGAATATAATTACATTTATATGACCTGAATTCCCTGGATCAACTTTTCTGGACCATTTTTCCAATTAAAAAATCTCTTTTTTTGGAAAAGCCAAAGTGTGTATAAATACTTACATGCATACATGCATGAATAAGATTTTATGTCTATTTGCATATTGATCACAGCAAACACTTAAATAGAAGTTATTATAAGCCAGATAATTGATCTAAGTGCTTTGTATGTATTAGCTTATTTAACCTCTAAAAAACTCTATGAGGTAGGTGCTAGTATAACTTCTATTTGACAGATGAGGAAATGGACACACATGGAGATCAAGTACCTTATCCAGTGTCACACTAGTAGGAAGTGGTGGAGCCAGGTTTCAAAGCCAGGAAGCCTCACTCCAGAGTCTGTGTGTGGAACCAGGATGCAAGGATACATAGGAATATGCCTTGCACAATATAAGTCAATACATGTTCACTGAAGTGAATTTCAGAGCTAAAACAGAACTCAGAGAAGGAAGAGCCAGAAGACCCAGCCTGTCATTAACTAGCCATATGACCCTTGGCAGGAATCTTATCTTTTTCCAATTAATATTATTTTTTTAAATGAATAATGTCCTTATTTCTCTTTCTGAAAAGAGGAATTTTTTTATTTTCTTGAAGGTATACTTCTTATTTTTTATTTCAGCATATTACGGAGGTAATATTTTTAATTGACAAATCATAATTATATAAGAAACTTATCTTAATAAGATAACATGAAAACACTCAACGGACTGTGGGTAAATAATACTTAACAAATAATGGATGTCTTCCTTTTTTGACCTGTTTATTTGTTTATAAA